GTGTATGGTGTGAGGCATGTATCCTGTTTTCTGCATGTGGAAATCTGATTTTCCCAACACCATTGATTGAATAGACTCTTTTTTTCCTATCGAATGAACTGAACACCTTTGTCAAAAATCAGTTGACCGTAGACGTGTGGTGTTATTCCTGGACTCTTAATTCCATTTGTGTCTGTTATTATATTAGTACCAGGCTACTTTGATTACTGTAGCTGTATGTTTTAAAATCAGGAAGTATAAGTCCTCCTATTTTGTTCTTCTCATTCAAAATTGCTTTAGCTATTCGGGGCCTCTTGTCATTCCATATATAGTTGGGGATTGGTTTTTCCATTTCTGTAAAGAAGGCTGTTGGAACTTTGTTCGGGATTGTGTTGAATCTATAGATTGTTATGGGCAAATCTGGCTATTTCTTAAAGTGACTGTCAAGAAAAGCCCAGAGCTAAACATTGAAGCAAGGTCCAGTGAAAGGGATTCTGCAGGAGGCTGAGCTCCTGTGATCCCAGTAGGAAAAAAATGCTATAGAGTTTCACCATCAGTCATTGGGAGACTGAGTATTTACAGTAGAGGGATGGAGCAGAAGCCAGATTTGGGCCTTAAGGTAGAGCTAGTGTTTTGTTGTGGATTTTTGCATCTATGTTCATATGGGATATTGACCTTTAGTTGTCCTTTCTTGTGTCTTTTCTTATTTTGGTATCAAGGTTATGTTTGCTTAATAGAATGAATTAGAGAGCATTCCTTCCTTCTCCATCTTTTGGAAGAGTTTAAACAGGATTGTTGTCAGTTCTTCTCTAAATGGATAGAATTCTTCAGTGAAGCCATCTGGTCCAGGACTTTTTTTTGTTGTTGAGAGGTTTGTGATCACTGATTTAATCTCTTTATTTGTTGTGGGTCTGTGAAATTTTCTACTTCCATTTGGGTCAATTTGGGTAGGTTGTGTGTTTCTAAGAGGTAGGAAATAATCCTTCTGTGTGCCAGGAAGGAGAAAAGAACTGGAAATAAATATTCACCAGTAGGTTTTACCATACTTCCACCAACCTCCTTGAGTATAATGACTGCTGTCTCCACTCTCTTGCTTCCTTGATGCTGTTGTTGTTAGGTGTTGTAATGGATTGAATTGTGTCCCCTTAAAATGTGTGTCAACTTGCGTAGGCCATGATTCCCAGTATTGTGTGATTGTCCACCATTTTGTGATCTGTCTGATGTGATTTTTCTATGTGTTGTAAATCCTACCTCTGTGATACTAATTAGGCCAGATTAGAGGCAGCTATGTTAATGAGGCAGGACTCAATCTACTGGATTAGGTTGTATGTTGAGTCAGTCTCCTTTGAGATATAAAAGAGAGAATCTAGCGGAGAGGTAAGGGACCTCCTGCCACCAAGGAAGCAAAAGCAGGAGGGGAGCGTGTCTTTTGGACCTGGTGTCCCTGCACTGAGAAGCTCCTAGGCCAGGGAAAAGTTGATGACAAGGACCTTCCCCCAGAGCCAACAAAGAGAGAAAGTCTTTCCCTGGAGCTGGCACCCTGAATTCAGACTTTTAACCTCCTAAACTGAGAGAATAAATACCTCTTTGTTAAAAGCCATCTGCTTATATTTGTTACAGCAGCACTAGATGCTAAGACTGGTGACTTCAAGTTGGTTTCAACTCAACAACCTCATGAACATTGCCCAATCCTGCACCATCCTCTCAATCACTGCTATGTTTGAGCCCATTGTTGCAGTCATTGTGTTAATCCATTTCGTTGAGGGTCTTCCTCTTTTTTGCCAGCCTTCTACTTTACCAAGTATAGTGTCCAATCTAACCTTTCGAGTTGCTTTTGTCAGTTTGATCCCATATAAAAAAAACCCATTGCCATCGAGTCAATTCTGACTGATGGTGACCCTATAGGACAGAGTAGAACTTCCCCATAGAATTTCCAAGGAGTGCCTGGTAGATTCAAACTGCTGACCTTTTGGTTAGCAGCTGTAGCTCTTAACCACTACGCCACCAGAGTTTCTGCTCCCCATATAGATAGATCTTAAAAGAGCATAATGCCTCAGGCAAGCATTCTTTTTTTTTTTTTATCCTTTATTTAAATTGTGCTTTAGGTGAAAGTTTATAGCTCAAGTTAGTTTCTCCTACAAACATTTATACACACATTGTTATGTGATCCTAGTTGCTCTCCCTATAATGTGACAACACACTCCTCCTTTCCACCCCTGGTTTTCTGTGTCCATTCAAATAGCTCCTATCTCTTTCTGCCTTCTCATCTCACCTCTGGACAGGAGCTGACCATTTAGTCTTGTGTATCTACTTGAACTAAGAAGCACACTCTTCATGAGTATCATTTTATGTCTTATAGTCCAGTCTGTTCTTTGTCTGAAGAGTTGGCTTTGGGAATGGTTTTAGTTCTGGGTTAACAGAGAGTCCGGGGGCTATGTCTTCTGGGGTTCCTCCAGTCTCAGTAAGACCATTAAGTCTGGTCTTTTTACTAGAATTTGTGTTCTGCACCTCACTTTTCTCCTGCGCTGTCAAGGACTCTCTGCTGTGTTCCCTGCAGGGCAGTCATTGGTGGTAGCTGGGCACCATCTAGCTCTTCTGGTCTCAGGCTGATGGAGTCTCTGGTTTATGTCGCCCTTTCTGTCTCTTGGGCTAATATTTTCCTTGTGTCTTTGGTGTTCTTCATTCTCCTTTGCTCCAGGTGGGTTGGGACCAATTGATGCATCTTAGATGGCTGCTTGCTAGCTTTTAAGACCCCAGGCATCACTCACCAAAGTGGGATGCAGAACATTTTCTTAATAAACTTAGTTATGCCAGTTGACCTAGATGTCCCCAGAAACCAGGGTCCCCAGACCCCCAGGCAGGCATTCTTTACTAGTTAAGTTAAATTATGGTTTTAAGAAGACTTCAGGGGATATTTTTGATTTAAGATTTAAAGACTATCTCAGGGCAATAGTTTTGGGGATTCACCCAGCCTCCATGGCTCCAGAAGGTCTGCAGTCCATGAGAATTTGAAATTCTGTTCCGTATTTTCTCCCTTTTGATCAGGATTCTTCTATAGAATCTTTGATCAAAATGTTCAGTAATGGTATCCAGGCACCATCCAATTCTTCTGGTCTCATGGCAGAGGAGGCAGTTGTTCATGGAGGCAATTAGCCACACATTCCATTTCCTCCTATTCCTGACTCTTTCCTCTGTTGCTCCAGGTGAATAAAGACCACTTGTTATACCTTGGATGGCTGCTTGGAAGCTTTTAAAACCCCAGGCACTACACAGTGAACTAGGGGTAGAACAGAGCATTGACCACATTATTAGGCCAGTTAACTGGGATGTCCCATGAAACATGACCCTAAACCTCCAAACCAAGGAACTTCTTTTATTTTGAAGGAGCAGGTTTCCCATAGGAGTGTGTACTTCCACAACTTGGGGTGGTGTGTATTTTACTTAGGCCAAAAGAGTTGGATTTGGAGAAGGGGAAACTAATATTTACTGAAAGCTTTTGGTGCTTGACATCCATGCAAGATATTTTAGTAGGCTTATTATTTTTATCACTTACAAAAACACTGTGATATGTTGATATCATTATTCCCTACAGATAAGGAGAAGTGAGGTTCACAGATGTTAAGAAAGTAAATTCAAATAGTTACTAAGTTGTATAGACAGTATAGTACCAGGTTTATAACTTTATAGTTGGTTTAGATTTAGAAAGAATAATGGGTTGTAGCACTGATTTATCGAGTGATTACTTTAGTCCAGGCATTTAGATGCATAATGTACCAAATAATTCTTGTAAAAATGTTTGAGGTATTTTGTTCATTTATCAGAGGTTGATAAGTCTCAGAATGTTAAGTCATCTTCCTCCAATATTCTACATTTAATAAGATTTGAGCTAGGATTGGTAGCTCTTCTGACTCTGTAGTTCATGCTTGATCTTTGCATTTCCTTTACTGGGGGCTTTTAAAGTTTTTTGTCACAATGTACAGCAAGAGTCACTTTTTGTATTGTGATCTAGCAAGCATGCGCATACATTCTACAGGCATGTGTGCACACGTGCATGTGAAACAGACGTTTCATGAAACGTCATTTACTCATTTCTGATAAAGCTCTCAAAATTTCTATTCTTTTTCATAAAAATAGTTGGTGCTGACTCACTACAATGATTAAATGACTCTCTAATGAGTCATGACCTACAGTTTGAAAAATACTACCTTATAGCATGCGAGCTATATAGATTCAATTTACAAAATACAGAAAGTGCTTTTGGTAAGGGGCAGCCTTCCTGCTCATCATATTCCATCTCATAGCGATCGTATGTGACAGAGCAGAACTGTCCCATAGGCTTTCCTAGGCTGTAATCTTTATGGGAACAGATAGCCAGGTCTTTTCTCCCACGGAGCTGCTGGGTAGTTTCAAACTGCCAACCTTTGCTTAGTAGCCGTATGCTTAACCACTGCACCACCAGGGCTTCTTATTTAGTTTCTAGTCTTCGCTAAATTTTCTGTGTTAAAATTGGATTGTTAGAAGTGAGACTAAAATGTACTGGTTTTAGGTACTGATTTTTTAAAAATAAATTGGAAACAAAATGGTGCACTAAACAAAAGTAGCATCTTTCTCAGCTATTTATAGTGAAAGCCGTTCTTTTTGCTTCCAACGTTGGTTTGCTGTCTTGCTGCGTGATGCTTTGTTGTATAGAAGTCTGATTCTTTATAAGGCCCAACTTTTGAAATTTCTTCTTTTTTTTTTTTCCTAAAATACATGCTAAATAGCTCTAATTAGTGTTATTAATCTGAATAGTATGAATGTGTAAACCAGCCTAATGCAGTCTCTCGTTTCCCTAAACAAGAATTGTATTATCTGTTGTTTTGCATGTTTATCAAATGTTCATGCTCAATTCTGAGGTAATTATTACTTTATATGAAAGTGTAATTTTTCAGCATTCATTTTTTTTTTTAGCTAGAGTTATTTTTGAAGTGTAAATACATTTAAGCACGTATAATAACTTATTTTATGTGTAATTTTTCTAGGGCTGCATTGGAAGAAGTAGAAGGAGATGTGGCAGAATTGGAACTAAAACTTGATAAGGTAAATTTACATTTTTAACTTTTCAAAACATTAAGTCTTGCTTTCCATAAATAATGACTAGTGTCTATTATACCAGATAGTTCACATTACTTTTTTATTACAGTATTTTATTGTGTTTTTGGCGAAAGTTGCATAGGAAATTACGTTCCCATTTAACAATTTCTGTATAGTGACATTGGTTACATTTTTTACAGTGTGTCAACATTCTTATTATTTCTGCTCTGGTTGTTCTTTCCATTAATCTAGCTTCCCTGACCACCCCCACCCCGTTACCTTCTCATCTTTGCTTTAGGGTAAATGCTGACGGTTTGGTCTCAAATAGATGATTTATTAAAGGAGCACAGTACTAGTGGGTGATAGTCTTTATTTTATGAGCCAATCTGTTATTTACTGAAAGGTGACCTCCAGCTGTGGTTTCCGTACAAAGTTTCAAGGGTATCTCAGGCCTCTCGCCTCTCCATGTAAAGTTGGTGATTTGTTTTTTCATTTCAGTAAAGAATGGTGTTGGAATTTGAATCGGATTGCATTGTGTCTATATGATGGAATGTTCTTCCATTTATGTAGGTCTCTTTTATCACATTACTTTTATCTCTCTGAGGATAAATGCTATTATTATCCTAATTTTACTTTTGAGGAAATTGATGCTAAAGACATTAAGTAGCTTGTTCAAAGTCTTATTTCGTGCCAGAGCAAGAATCTGAGTCCACGTCTGACATCCTTTATGTTACCTTCTTCTCCATCAAGGATCGTATCTATCTTTTGTTGTTGTTTATTATCATAATTTATTGTGGTAAATATATGTAACAAAACATTTGCCATTTACACAGTCTTCACATGTATAATTCAGTGACATATTAATTATGTTTATCATATTGCTCAACCACCATTATCCATTTCCAGATTTTTCTGTCACCCTTAGCAGAAGCTCAGTGTTCGCTAAGCAGTGAGTTCCCCTTTCCTTCCCTCTCGTCTGCCCCTGGTAACCACTAATACTTTGGTCTGTATGTGCTTGCCTATTCTAGCTAGTTCATATGTATCTATCTTTTCTGATGCTTATGGATTGCATACATAGCCTGACCATTCTTGTTTATACATTTGAGTGTGTACAAGTTCAAATATAAATACAAATGAAAATACTCATTTTAATTTTTTTTAGCTAATGTCAGAAATGCTTAAGATATATTTAATAATTAATATTAAGTGGTTATATTTCTTATGAGGGTAAGTGTGCATTGATTCCCACCTTCTGTATTAATGATTTATAAACTTTCTGTATATATGCAGTGTCTGCTATATATCATGCATCATACTGGGTATCAGAAATGTCAGAATGAGTAAGACATGACTTCTGATCCCAAGAACCATTGTTCAGTGAAATATCTCTTAAAACTTCTGGAGTCAGATGCATATATTTGAAATACCTTTTCTGAAATTAATTTCTTATTAATATAATTATTATTGTAAATGGTATTGCTGTATAAAGCAGTGCTTCTCAAACCTTACTGTGCATAGAAATCACCTGGGGATCTTGTGAAACTACAGGTTCTGATTCAGTAGGTCTGAGGTACCTGAGATTCTGTGTTTCTAACCAGATTCTAGGTGCTGCCAATGTTGTTGGTCCATGGACCACACTTTGAGTAGCAAGCATATAAAATGTGTTACTTAGGCTGAAGGTTTTCAAATGTTTTGAAATCATGGAACATATATATACATATAAATGTGTATAATATAGACACTTTATAAAGCAGTAGTATTAGTAATATGTATAAAATAATCAAAATTTTAGAAAATATTTATTACTAAGTTATTTTTGTGTAAGTGTTCGGTTCCCTGGGTGGCACAAGTGGTTGAGTGCTTCACTACTAACTGAAAGGTTGGCAGTTCGAACTCACTTAGAGATGCCTCAGAAGAAAGGCCTGCCAGTCTGCTTCTGAAAGGTCACAGCCATGAAAACCCTATGGAGTACAGTTTTACTCTGCCTGAGGTCACCATGAGTTGGAATCGACTTGAACCTTTTTTCTACAGTATATTTTTTTATTTTTGTAATAATTCTGTAAGCTAGGTAGGACAAGTGGTATTATTCCCATTTTATAGATGAGGATACCAAAGCCCAAGAAAATGAAGTGGACTTTTCGTAAATCACAGTTAGAAGAAACAGAACCAAGGTTAGAACCCAGATGTTTTATTCTTAGTCCAGTGCTCTTACGTACCACTGAACTTCAAGATGCATCTTGGGAGAGCACATGCCACTCAGAGATTTTCAGAGGAACCGTAACAAATTTCCAGGCAAGTGTTTTTAAAAATTAATATTTGAATAATGAGTAGGGCTATTATTTTTAAGTAGCTTTCTTTATTTTCTACTTAAAAATTACGTTTTTTCTTAAACGTTAAATATTTAGTTTTGATTTTTCTGGTAGACTAGTGAGAGAATTTATAGATGGGCAAGACTTTTTTAAGAAGAATCAAAGAGTAGTGTAATAAGGATATCTGTCCTCTTTAGAGCCCTGGTGGTGCAGTGGTTAAGCGCTCAGCTGCTAACTGAAAGTTCCGCAATTTGAACTTTCAGTCTCTCTGCGGGAGAAAGATGTAGCAGTCTGCTTCTTTAAAGATTACAGTCTGGAAGCCCTATAGGGCATTTCTACTCTGTGCTGTAGGGTGCTGTGAGTTGGAATCGACTTGACGGCAGTGGGGTTATCGTAGAACTGCATCTAAATCATATGAAACACTTTGTAAGGGGGAAAAAAAACCTCAAAAATTTTACAGTACCTATACAACTGGAATCCACTGGCAGCATTTTTGTTAATGATATTGCTTTTACGAGTGGCTGTTTTTCTTTATATGATTTGGTTGAGGGTGAGGGAGACTGGCTGAATCTTAAGATCGAAAGGTTCAAATCTTAAACAAGTTATTAAAGTATTGGCATTCAGTACTAAGAACTCTTAAGCCCTTCTAAAGAGTCATTCCTAGGTCTACTAAGGGCATCATGGAAACTTGTCATCTTTTAAAATATCACTTCCCCCCAAATGGAAATTCCAAATTTAATTTTATATGCCTCTAGATCAAAAGCTTGCTCCTTTATAAAATATACTCCCTCCCAAATTCTTAAGCTATTATATATCACTTTTATGTTAGGATTATGGGGAGTTAGCGTAGAGAGTCTGAGAGGAACAGGAAATGGGTGTTGAAGGTGGTGGCATTGAAGGACAAGGGGGGGAGTGGTGCCCAAGACCAGTTTTAGTAATTTCCTAGCTTTCTGCAGGGCAAGTTCTACCTGCACTATCATTGTAAATCATGCCAGAGACCGGTTAAACGAGTCTGGTTACTTAGGTCACATTTATTTTGTTTATAATGTAGGCCACCAGTAGTTACATTCTTTCTGGTGGTATTGCTCTGCTGGGTCCACTTATTTAACCAGTCTGCCAGGTGTTCTGTATTGTGGCAGCATCACAGAGTGTCATAGTTGCCGTCTAGATACAATTTCTTTATCTGTTGCATCTTCTCACTGGAAGCTTGCTCCCTTGTTTGTTAAGCAGGCACCCTTTTTTTATTTTATTGTTGTACTTTAAGTGAAAGCTTACAATTCAAGTTAGTCTCTCATACAAAAATTTATACATACATTGTTATGTGACTCTAAATACTCTCCCTGTACTGTGACAGCACACTCCTCCTTTCCACGCCTGATTTCCCATGTCCATTCAACCGGCTCCTAACCCTCTCTGCCTTCCCATCTCACCTCCAGACAGAAGCTGCATGTTTAATATCATGTATCTACTTGAGCTAAGAAGCACACTCTTCACCAGTATCATTTTATGTCCCATAGTCCAGTCTAATCTTTGACTGAAGAGTTGGCCTCGGGAATGGTTTTGTGCTAACAGAGAGTCTGGGGGCCATGCTTTCTGGGATTCCTCCAGTCTCAGTCAGACTATTAAGTCTGGCCTTTTTACTTGAATTTGAGTTCTGCACCCCACTTTTCTGATGCTCCATCAGGGACTCTTTGTTGTGTTCCCTGTCAGGGCGGTCATTGCTGGTAGCTGGGTACCGTCTAGTTCTTCTGGTCTCAGGCTGATGCAGTCTCTGGTTTATGTGGCCTTTTCTGTCTCGTGGGCTAATACTTTCCTTGTGTCTTTGGTATTCTTCATTCTCCTTTACTCCAGGTGGGTTGAGCCCAGTTGATGCATCTTAGATGGCTACTTGCTAGCTTTAAGACCCCAGATGCCACTCACCAAAGTAGGATGCAGAACATTTTCTTAATAAGCTTTGTTATGCCAGTTGACCTAGATGTCCCCTGAAAGCATGGTCCCCAGACACCCAGCCCTTCTGCTGTGTCCCTCAAAGTGTTTGGTTGTGTTCAGGAAACTTCTTACCTTTGGTTTAGTCCAGTTGTGCTGACTTCCCCTGTAGTGTGTGCTGTCCTTCCCATCACCTGAGATAATTCTTGTCTACTATCTAGTTAGTGAATAACCCTCACCCTCCCTCCCCACCCTCGTAACCATCAAAGAATGTTTTCTTCTGTGTTTAAACCTTTTCTTGAGTTCTTAGGATAGTGATCTTTTACAAATTTGTCCTTTTGTGACTGACTCAATTCACTCAGCATAATGCCTTCCAGATTCCTCCATGTTATGTTTCATGGCTTCATCATTGTTCTTTATCGTTGTGTAGTATTCCATTGTGTGAATATACCATAATTTGTTCATCCATTTGTCAGTTGGTGGGCACCTAGGTTGTTTCCATCTTTTTGCTATCGTGGAAAGTGCTTAAGCAGACACCCTTTAAATCTCAGCTCAAATACTACCAAACTTTGGTTCTTTTTCTTGCATTGCTTCTTGTACATGCTTCCACTTAAACTATTATAATATTATTGTAATTTTTAGTTTGTAACATAGTTAAGAACACAACTCTTGTTTGTTCCTGCGTTTGAATGCGGCCCTACCATTTACTAGCTGTGTGACCTTGGGCAAGTTCCTTAACCTTTTTGTGTCTCAGTTTTTTCGTCTACAAAA